CTCGTCACACCTTCCGTTTTGTCCTGCCCTATTTACACATATGCGTTAATGGTCTCTGGCTTATTTGCGTGCCGCAGTTTCCGGAGTTCCTCACTCACATCCTGTACATGCATCATGATCACGTCACCGCCGGGCATAGGGGCCAAAGGAAGACCTACAAGGCCCTCAGCAAGCGTTACTATTGGCCCGGCATGCGTACTTACACCAACGCGTACGTGGAGTCCTGCACGCAGTGTCGCGCAGCCAAATCACTTAATCAAAAACCTGCCGGCCTCTTACAACAGCTGCTTATTCCCTCGCGCAGGTGGAGCCATGTCAGTCTAGATTTCATCACCGACTTACCCCTCACCTCCTCTGGGCACGACGCAATTCTGGTCGTTGTTGATTCTCTCAGCAAGATGGCGCACTTTATTCCGGCCAAGAAGTCCCTCTCAGCCGCTGACACTGTAGAGCTCCTTGCTGACCGCCTCATCCGCTACCATGGCTTCCCCGAAGTCCTCATTTCCGACAGGGATCCTCGTTTCCAATCGGAAGTGTGGTCACAATTATGCTCACGTTTCAATATTACCCGGGCGATGTCTTCTTCTTACCACCCGCAGACGGATGGCCAGACCGAGCGAGTCAACCGCACCCTTGAACAGATGCTCCGCACGTACATCCAGGCAGACGAAAGGGAGTGGGAAGGCCTGCTGCCTGCTTTGGAGCTAGCGTATAACACCACCAGTCATTCCTCTACTGAGCTTTCCCCTTTCGAAATCATGATTGGGGAGAATCCCTTAACCGCGGCGGACCTAGAAATTGTTGGTGCTTTGGCTCCTACGCTCACTCCCCCTATAACGAAACTTTTCCAGCGGCTCTGTGACCGCGCGCGGAGTCACATCCTGCAGGCAAAGTGGCGTCAGAAATACTACGCCGACGCCCGCCGCAGGGCTGTGGAATATAAGGTGGGCGACCAAGTCTGGCTTAATGCCAAACACTTGCCTGCTCTTAACCATTGTTCTAAGTTTGAACCCAGATACCGAGGACCCTTCACAGTGACTGAACGCATTGGCACGGTAGCTTACCGTCTTGCTCTGCCCCCCACATACGAGGGACACAATGTTTTCCATGTTTCACAATTGGTTCCCCATCACCCCCGTGATCCCGCTTTGGTTCCACGCGAAGCTCCAGTTGGCTGGCCTCCAACACGCGATGACGCCGGCAACCCTACGGACCAGTATCTTGTCGACTATATCATGGACCAAAGAGGGACGGGAGAGGAAGCACAATATCTTGTTAAGTGGAGGGGCGCCCCCGAAGAACGGGCCACATGGGAACCCGCTCACCATTTGGCAGGGTGCCCCGCCTTACTCCGGGCCTGGCGACGCAGCCAGCGCAGACGCCTTCTATCCTGACGCCGATAGGCTTCCTCTTCTTCTCTTCCCGCTGCTCATCTTTCATATTTATACGTTCGCCGCCCATTCTCGTCCGAAACGGGGGGGGAATGGGTGCTAGAGCACCTTACAATCCAAGACTCTACCAGCTGTTGGAGTGGTCGGAGAAAGATGCCGCCTCTGCACCTGCCGAGACTCGTGAAGATAAGCCTAATTCTTGGTCAAGAAGGCTGACCGGCTTGACGTGTTAGCCAAGGGCATACACCCCTGACGTGCGGGACGTCCTGAGGTTGTCGTGATGCGGGATGAACGGAGAGATTGAGCAGAAGAAAGGCAGGGAACAACAACAAAAACAAAAAAATATATATATATAATAATAAATAAAACAGCCAAGCGGTTTCGGTTCGCTAACAGGGGGGGAAGTTGTAGTGCCGGGCACTACAATTGACCCTCGTTGCTACACCCGAGACTTACTAACGCGGAAAGCATGAGTAATATCGAATAATATTAAGGCATAAGGTACCGTAGGATAGTTGAAAACCATAAGAGAGAACAATGGGCTCGTTAGCCCGCACCAGGTGCGAGTTTGGTCTCGAGTTTGGTCGCGAGGTTTGGTGCTGCGACGCGACTCGGGCACTGACCCTCGACGAAGGTCAGCTTTCAGTTCTATTATTCTGGGTTTTCGCACCTCAATAATATGAACTCAATTGTATGAGGTTTATCAAGGTATTTCATAGTTGTTGTCTATAGTCAGGTACCTTTGACCGACTGAGCCGAGCGACCGCCGAGTCGGGCTCGCCAAGGGACGTACGTAGTAACAGTGAAGATGTAGTGCACTGCGCCCGCAGCTGCGACTACGTGCTCTCAGTCCCTTGGGCAGGGTCTATGAAACTGCTCCCTACGCTAGTCCATTTGCTAGAAACACCAGATATAGCG